TAAATATGAAATATTATCCGTGCCGCCTGGGCTTTGAAGTTTCCCATGTATTTTACAGGGGGAAGATAAATATTTTCGTAGAATTGCTATAAAATCGTTAAAAATAAATATTTTTGATCGAATGAGAGTACTTCCCTTCAGAAGTATTCAAAAGACAACACTATGATGCTTATTTAACTTAAAAATTTGAGTAGGTTTGTGGTAAAAAACCTTGAAAAATGGGGTTGCCAGATATTTTAAAATTTATAATTATTTAAATGTCAATAAAATATTTAAGTTTCTTCATCAAAACTAAAAGCATTTGAATATATTTTTGAAAGGGGTTGCCACCTTTATAAAAAAAATAGAACAATGGTTATTAAAAATTTAAGCTTATATAATACCACAATATAGATATTACATGAAAGGTGTACGCATAAGCTTTGGACTAACATGTTTTTAAATAGGGTTGCCACCAATCTGTTAGCTAAGATGATGTGATTATGTAAGCTATGTGAAATGAGGCAATATACATTTTTGCACATTCGATAGTTTGACATGACACCGATAGTTAGACATCGCACTCATTTAAATTATTTAGAAAGCTGCCAACTCTATCCAGAGCTTTATTTTAACACATTTATGTAGCGTGATTTAAAAATTTTTTTATTACAGATAAATGGCAACCCTATCGAAAAATATATGTGCACTAAAGTATGTAATTTCAAAAACCATTGCTGGGTGTGCATAACCCTTCCATTTGATACTCGTATTGTGGTGTTAAGTAAGCTTAAATTTCTAATAACCGTTGTTGTATTTTTTAGAAAGGTGGCAACCCCGTACAAAAGTGCTTTTAAAACACGTCGAATGCTGTTAGTTTTGATGAAGAAACTTAATTATATTTCTGAGGCTTTAAATAATTTTAAATTTTAAGATATCTGGCAACCCCGTTTTTCAACATTTTTTAACACATATCCATAGAAATAATCGAGTGGAATGAAAAAAAAGATAAACTCATCCATTGAGCTGTTCGAGCGGGATGTGGTTATGAAAACTTAAAATAACAAATTTTTGTATATAACAGTTAGGATTATCGGTTATTAAAATACACTTAGTAAATTTGTTAAGTTAAATCAGCATCATAGTATTATTTTTTGCAGACTTCTGAAGGGAAATAGTTTTATTCGATCAAAAAATATTTATTTTTAACGAATGTATAGCATTTATACGAAAAAAATTATTTTACCCAAGTAAAATACATGGGAAACTTCAAAGTCCCGGCGGCAGCGGTAAATATTAACCGATTTCAAAATAATAAATACATGTCTCCTTATTTTTAATATTCTTCAGTTCTGGGGTGGCAGCAGGAAAAATCAAAAAAATTGATCTTCCGATGAATTTTTGGACCGCCCTAATACATATACATACTAACTACAACTATATAAAATTCAACGATGAACAATAGAAAAATCTGAAGTAAAATAAAGTAAATAGCGGCGGCGCACTATAGGCAAAACACGAGTTTTTTTTCAAAATCGTAGATCTTCGGTTAGAAAAGAGATAATGGAATGAAAATTTTTTTATCGTGAAATGAAAGTGTTTGTTGATTTTGCGAATTTTCGGCACGCACAGAGGGCATATACACGCACTTATGTAACGGGTGATTTTTTTGAGGTTAGGATTTTCATGCATTAGTATTTGACAGATCACGTGGGATTTCAGACATGGTGTCAAAGAGAAAGATGCTCAGTATGCTTTGACATTTCATCATGAATAGACTTACTAACGAGCAACGCTTGCAAATCATTGAATTTTATTACCAAAATCAGTGTTCGGTTCGCTTTACGTCCGATTTATGGTCTACATAATCGACCAAGTGAGCAAACAATTAATGCGATTGTGACCAAGTTTCGCACTCAGTTTACTTTATTGGACATTAAACCAACCACACGAATGCGTACAGTGCGTACAGAAGAGAATATTGCGTCTGTTTCTGAGAGTGTTGCTGAAGACCGTGAAATGTCGATTCGTCGCCGTTCGCAGCAATTGGGTTTGCGAAACACATTTCGAACCGAACACTGATTTTGGTAATAAAATTCAATGATTTGCAAGCGTTGCTCGTTAGTAAGTCTATTCATGATGAAATGTCAAAGCATACTGAGCATCTTTCTCTTTGACACCATGTCTGAAATCCCACGTGATCTGTCAAATACTAATGCATGAAAATCCTAACCTCAAAAAAATCACCCGTTACATATGATATATCAATATTTGTCAGTGCTTGCCAATTTTGTGTATCATCTCATTTTACTTCAGTAATTTTTTTTTACTTTTACACCACAAACAAATTATTGTAATTTGCCGCAATTTAAAATGCCGCTTTCGCTTTCACTTTTGATTTGTTTTATGTTTATTGCGGCATTAACCATGTGTTTATGAGTGTGCGTGCTCCAAGAATTGCTAGCGCGGAGTTTAGTCAAGTTCATATTTCGCCAAGAAAATACAGGGTGATTGATTAATATTTCAAGGTTAAGAACTGCATATAAATTGTTGGTTAATATTGCCTGCAATTAATTTTTTATTTATTCATTTAACAAATAATGCTTCTACGCTCAATGATGCATGTGCGACAACCCAGCAAAAGGTTACCCATTACTGCCTGTAGGGTTGCCGCGGGAATTTCCTCAACTGTAGTTCGAATGAATTTGTGGGTTTTTTTTTGGAAGCTTCCTGTCAGCAATAATCCAACAAAATAAAATGTGGCGCAGTGAGGTCAGGAAACCTTGAAGGGGCCAACGGAATGTGTGTGTGTGTGTGAAATCAACTTAAAAAAATTGCAGTTATTATCGGATTGCTTGCGGGACATATTCTGGTGGCTGTTCATGTCCAAAATAATGGGTATCACTAGCGTGGACGGGTGCAAGCAGTGTTGTGAGCGGGAGACTAGGGAAACCTCGGAACATCTTCTCTGCCGATGTTCTGCACTGCCAAAAACCACCACTAAAATTCTTGGGAGCCTAACAATTCGAGAAGTTAGAGGACATCTTAGAATAGAGCTGAAATTTCTACTAAAATTCGCCAAAACCGTTGACATCCTTTGTGATGTTTGTTTTAACGCATACAAGCGAGCAACAACTGGCAACGCTAAGTACCTACCGGTCAACGCCGCCCAGATCAAGATAACAGAGAAAATCATTAATATCGGTGCTCTATAAGTATATCTCCTACACAACTAACTTTTCAGATATAACTTTTTGACATTCCAACAAATATTTCGATTAGAGAAAGATTAGAAAGTGATTCGAGTTCGAATTTGTTTCTCTGAGGTAGAAGGTTAAAAGACGATAAGGGAAACTGTCGTGAACTATAACTAGCACTCTCTACAAAGAGGAGAATTAGTTATCGATATCGAGAAGAATGTTAGATATCTAATCGGATTTTAACGTTGAATTCTAATTGGTTTCTAATGTCCAGTATTTTTTTAATAATTCTCGTATCGAATTCTAACATAGTTCTCTTACCTTCGATTCGAGAACCTCATTCGAATTGTAATGTGAACTCACAACGTTTCTCTAACGTTAGTGACTGTGTTTACTGTGATATAACTCATCCATCTATGCGATTAAGGCAAACAATTATTTTTACCTATTTGCTTATGATGAATAAATTAGTAAAATGTGTAGCTCCCAAAGAACTGGTTAAAAATACAATAATGGGTTAAAAATAAATTATTTAACTGTTTTTACTTATTTGGGATATACATACGTTAGCGACATAAAAATTAGCTTGAATCAACGAAAGTTTTATCAAGGATTGATAGTGTATTACTTATGATGCTGCTGTTTAAGAATAACAAAAGGGCATTTGATATACAAAAAAATGTAATAAGTACTCGTAAAGCAGTAAAAATCTCGGTTCCAAAAAGTTCTAGCAACTATTTAGCCATCAATGCATGTCAACACACATACACACCTACCTATATAGCCATTAAAAATATGTCAATTAACAATTTATCAATATGCCAAATGCGCAACTCGCTGGTAAGATTTATGGATGCAAGAAAATAGGTGACCCAAATCGTGCAACCCGAACGGAAAGACAAAAAAGAGGAGTGGAATATGAGGTGAGCCGTAGGCAGACTATCAAAAATAATGAAAATACAGAAGACACTAAATGGATGTAAACATAAACTAAGAATAATAGATTGCATTTAAAAGTCAAATAAATTAGAATCTATAACATAACATTAAACTTTCTTCAATAGCTATGTTCGAAGTCTAGTGATAAGCGTTGTGCACAAACACTTAACATAAATACATACATATACACAGTAACATACATACATATATACATAGGGTGATAAAAAAAAAAGTTAAGTCGGAATTTTAAAGCTTTTACCACCTAGGATTGTTCTGTATCGAAAAAATACACCCCTGTTTTTTTATTTTCAAACCAAAAAATAATTAGATTCGCTCAAAGTTTTCTATGTATTTTATATTTGAAAAAAAAAACAAACAATTTTTCGTGGAAATTTTATGGAATTCATGAAAATCAATATTTTTCGGTCGGAAAACTATGTTTTCCTTCAGGAGACTTCCAATAATGATACATAATTATTTATTTAGCAATTTTTTATATTAACCAGTTTTTATAGGTCCTCAAAAAACCCTAAAATATGCAATGGTGGGACGCATAAAATATCTTCAGTATTAAAAAATCGTAAAATAAACAATTTGTTATTATTATTGGAAGTTTTTTGAATACAAACAGAGATTTCCGATCAAAAAATATTGATTTTCATGAATTTCCCATGAAAAGTTGATTTTTCCCCTTATAAAATAGCTATATAGAAAACTTTGAATGCTTTCAGGTGGGAGCATTAAAATTTTGACTTCAATTTTGCACGTGCATTTTTGGACCGCCTTAATGTACTTCCATATATTTGCAATGCATTGCTACCTACAATTGTTCAAATGAAGTTAATTTGGCTTATTTGTTTTTATGTTTTCGTCCTTTTACAGATTTATGAAATAACAAACATTGAAAGTGAATTAAGGCGGCCTACATAAATATGAGAGAGCACGAATAGTGTGCCAACCAAATCTACTTACTCCCTTACTCCTATGCGTAGTTGGAATAGTCAGTTCCTGCAAAGAAGTTAAACAAAAGTGAGTGCTTGATTGCTTTATTCAAAGTACATAACTATTTTAAGCTGATTTTAAGAGTGATACATACCAGCGGCAAAGTGCTTCATCCTGGACGGACGCTAACTGTTTTCCATACATTGCTAACAACTCACCACCCGCACCCTTCGTCAAATGTCAAATTTTGAATGATGAATCGTTTGGCTTATGATTGAATATGCAGCTAGCTAGCTATGCACAGTTGCATGCATATGCATCTTCATATATATGTATCTATAAGATACTTTGTAAGTGCACACCTTGAGTGCTAACAACTTTTCGTTGCGCACCAATACACACACAACTCCGAGAATACTGTGAGTGTTTGCTGTTGTTGTGGCATGAAAGGCGTGATATCAAAATCAGCTTACCTGTAGCCCCAACCAGACTGATTACTAGCCTCGCTGGCAGTTTGTTGATTTTATAAATCATTGCAATACTGCAACAATCTCAGCCATAATTCTCTACTCGGGTGCACACAAACTCACTCTTCTTTAACTTGAAGGTTACGCGTATCAAGAACTTGAAAGCAAGTTGCAATATACGCACACTTTTTATCTTCCCGATGGCCAGAACTACGCCGCTGGTGAAAGTAAACGCCTGATTATGGCAACTTAACTTAACTAATAACATCCATTTAAGAGAATTTTTAAGGGAGAGCCTGTAAGTTACGTTAATTTTCCATAATCACACCATAAGAGGCACACAGACCTTGGCAGTTTGCCGCACCTTGTAACCATCTAATGGTTGGGCCACTTGGGTCAATGCCGAACTAGGTTGGAAGTAGTTAGAGGGCTGGCCAATATCTTAAGTGCACCTTGGCTGTCACTTCTGACACGTAAACTCCTTACCCTTGCAAATATATCTGCCTCGAAGACTGAAACATATTTCCTAAGAGATGAGTGAAGCTTATCCCCATTATCTTCGTTAAACACCTCAGATCCTGACCCCAGAGTCACTTCTGGAGTATTCAGTATAAACCAACAATCAGTCTCAGAAGACTCCACATTATAGAATCGCTTTAAGAAAGGTAATGGTGGCGTTCTATCCTTTGGTTGCTTTCGGGGTGCCAGTGTAGGTACCATCTGATCACCATAACCTAACTTAACCCCCAGTATTTCATTGGTTTCTTTTCAATCCGGATTCTATAAGTTCTTTCCTAGCAGTTATTTACAGCTCCCTTTGTAAACCGAATGCCTTCAATAATTCTCTGTTAGCCCGTCTCATTTTCAAAAGCAGTAACTTATGTGCAATCTGAACTGTCACCGTGTTATAACAAGAATAATTGCCAATAATTTTGGCCATCTTCTTTGCCATTTTCTTTGCTTGCCGCCTCATTTTTTTTTCAATAAACGAAAAAAAGAATACACTTTTACTTTGCTTCCCCTCGGCTGCTTGCCATCACAGCGCAACATCAATATGCGGCCAATAACCTGCAGTAAGCATTTGGTTTCCTTAGCTTCCACGAAAATTATCGAATTGCAATGCGTCAGCTGCTGCTGTTGCTATTGCACGTTGTACAGAGCCAATCATGCGTGTGTCAGCAGGCTTTAATTAGGGTTCTGTGCTTCTTCTTCATTGGAAATGCAAAGTGCCCATGAAATCTGACATGGTTGCAATCTTTGAACAATTTGCTTCATTTTTGTTATTACATAGTGCGAGGTAATTTTGTGCACCAGCTGGCTGGATGGTTCCTTTATAAACAGCATAAACAGAACAAGTGACATGGAATGCCAAAACCCATGGACAACCAAAAATTCACCATTTTTGCCTTACAAAGTAAATATAGTTTTTTTTCTTTGAATATTTCCAAATAGTTTCCTACATTGTTTGCGGATGTGCTTGTTTGCAACATTGCTTGCATACAACAAGCGACTTTTGTTTACTACAACTGCTTTGCAGTCTAATTGACTTAAGCATGCCAGCGCGTTGCCAAATCCCAGCCTTGGCGACGCATTAAGCTGCCACAGACGTGCGGAAAATGTCGATGGCGGCAGCAGCAACTTAAACAGCCACGCTACGCCAACACGATCAGGGCGTGGTAATTTCGCATTAAGCAGCCTAAATAATGAAGTGAAATTCACGATTTTTTGAGTGGAGGCCCCTTTGCAGCAGCAGCAGGATGCTGCACTCATTGAGTGGCCAAGTTGTAGAAGTTTCGTTTTTTTGTGGATTTTGCGCTTTTTGGTTGCTTCAACTTGGCAACGCTCTGAAGTGGCATATCAGCCGCTACTTAAAAAACAATGTTGCTCACTGCGTTGCAAAAGAAGTTGCCTCATTTCGATGCTGCAGCCGTAGCCAATGTGAAAGGCAGCAAGGCAGGTATTTTGCTGAGGCAGCAAAGTGCAATCGGCTACTCATTTCGTTAGTTAAGCTCATGAAAAGGCGATTTGGCAAATAGCCAGCAAGAGAGGTGTGCGCAAATTTTGCAGAAATTCAATTTAAAAATATCCTGCCTCCATCGTAGACATTGTCAGCTAGAAAGTCTAAACCAACTCTGACTTGCCTAGTTCCGCTGTTATCAAATACTTGTTTCCGTTAAAAGTTGAAAAGTAAACAAAATCAAATACTCACAATACAAAAGGCAGGCCAAGCTTGTTTGTCCAGCAGCTCAACGTGTTGTTTACGGCAAAAACATGCACTGTGCGTGTGAATAATAAAACAACAAAGGAATCAGCATCTGCACACAAAAATTTAAGAGAATAAATAAATTTAGCGAGGTTAGCAGTTGCAACCGAGTGCTTTTGGTGCCTAAATGGAAGGAATCAAAGGAATTTTTCATACCTCGCCTTCCTTTTGCCTTCTTACTGCTCCCTACAAGCTGATGAGCCTAAAAGCAGATTCCTGTAAATTCCGACTTAGTGCTTGCCCGTCCATTGCCGTTGTGATAAATGAGATAAACGTTGTTGTTGTGTTCAGAGTAGACTATCTCGCGATCAAGTAAGCGCGTCTGTAAGTTAACAATGTGTGTTCGAGTGACGCGGAGAGGTACATATGAAATTTAAATACATATTTCTTCTGTTGAATTATTTTTTTTTTTTTTGCATTTCACTTTGCCACTCTTTATTTGAAAAGAGACAAGTTGATACAAGATGATGTCAGACAAATGCATTATTTGATTTTTGTAGTTTATCTTTCCTAAAGAGGATTTATTTAAAAAGATGTGCTAATGCTTGACTTTAATCCTAAGTCCACTTTAGGCACTCAAAGGTCACAGAAACTTCCATTATGAGACAATTATTTTGCACGCCACTTGAGAATTGCTTACGTTTGCTAAGTGATCGAATGAAATCATAGAATGATGACACCGAATGCTTGCGAATTAGATGCTGCATATTTTTATGTGCACAGTTTTTTAATCTAGAAACTACTACACCAAACCATAGTAGTATAAATTTGCATACCTGTCCACTGCTTGCAAGCTGATTAGTTTGGTACAGGTCAGGGATTTTTCAAGATCAAAGTGCCCAGGAGTTCGTATATGAAGCGCAGTGTTTGTTGTTAAACTTTAGCACGTGGAAAGTGATCCGGGTGACGTTTATGTTGTTATTGTTGTTGTAGCGGATACTAAACCCTGCCTAGATTGGCTTGTCCATCAATCTCTTTCGTCAAGCTCAACTAAGGGGAGACCCAGGAAGCGTGCAATACCGACTGGGTTTGTTCCTAGGGTGTTAGTTGGGTGGGGTTTGGGGGGCATTCGAAGAGATGGGTCGAGTCTTGGGGTGTCTCTCTGCATGGCGGACATGGTTTGGGCCCTAATCTACTAAGGTACGAGTCTAACCTGCTGCAGCAGCCAGAGTGAAATTGGGCTTTGGTGATGCGAGACTCCCAAGGCAGACGAAGCTATTTGTCGTCCACGACAGGTCGAGATTCGGTGTTGGTCGAGACCAACTCCCTGTGAATTCTGTTTATCACCTGTCGGTATGCTTCACAGGCCAAATTGAGTGTGGTTTGAGGCATTTCTGCCATGAAAAACAACTTGGGAGTCGGCGTAAAGCTGTAGGTCCTTTCCTTATGTGCTACAACACCAAGGCGCACGCCACAAATCGTAGGAGAAGCTCGGCCAAACACTAACATATATGCAAGCGCCAATTTATTATTATTATTATTATTATTATTGTACAGTGGTACACAGTCTGAATAAAGATGGAGGGCAGAGCAGGAGCGGGTGTCTTTGCACCTGGCATAAAACTTTCTATTGCAATGGGTACTTGGTTCACGGTCTTTCAGGCCGAGGTACAAGCAGTCTCAATTTGGGCGAGACTGAACCTTGAGAATGGTTTAAAAGGCTGTACTTGTGGGGCCCTAACTGTTTTGTGAACTCAGTTGATCCTTCTCGAGACTCATAATCGAAGAGTGGGTAAACTCATAACGCAGTAAGTACCTAGGAGAGTTAGAGTGCCTTAGACAGGCAAGAATTTTTGGTTATCCCTTTGCTAGGAGAGATATAAATTACTTGGAAAGAGCCAACATCAAGTAGCTTATGAGCTACCTAACCGGCCATAACTTCCTGCACTCCCACGTGCACCGGATTTGTCTTTCAATGAGACGGATTGCCATCTTTGCCTTAAAGACCTCCAAGTTAAACGTCATTATCGACGTTTTCAACATCATGCATAGAACGTGTGATCGATAAAGCAGTCTTTGTATTTCACCGGAGCTTCTACCTCCGATTTATGCTTACCAGGCAATGAACAAACGGTCAATACCCCAGTTATTAAGGTTAGGAATTCGTCTACGAAGAACCTTTCAGGTAGGCTGACAATATCTTGGGCCCTGAGGGTTAGGAAATATCATCTGGATAGAAAAGATCTTCTAGGTCTAGGTAAAAAATAAAATAAAATTATTTGAGCTACTTATTTTAAAAGATTCTTTATACAAAAAAATTAAATAATAAAAATTTTGCCAGAAATTTAAAAAACTTAATTTTTCTTAAAAATATTCCCAATTTTAAGACATAATAGTAATTCATCAAAAGTCCTCCA